AGCTAACCTAAATTCTTTCCGTCATGATGTGTGTGTGTGTGAGAGAGAGAGACAAAGTAGCCAATAATAGTGAATGAGAGAGGTGCGATCCCTCTTGTTGTGCATCGAACCCCCTTTTGTTGTGCATGATGACATCTCTCTTGTTGTGCATCCGCCTCTCCCGTTCACTTCTCAATCACGTCCAGATTCCATCGAAAAGAGGTGTGGTGTGTGACTTCTCCACAGATCGCACCTCTCCCGTTCACCTTTTCTCTCTCTCTCTCTCTCTCTCTCTCTCTCTCTCTCTCTCTCTCTCTCTCTCTCTCTCTCTGTGTCTGTGCATGAGCTCGGATGAGATAGTCAGCAAGAGCTGACCTAAATTCTTTCCGTCGTGGGCTGTATGGCGGATGCACCCGCCATAGGGTAAGGGCGGATGTTTCTCGAGCAAGAGCTAACCTGAATTCTTTACGTCCTGATGTGTGTGTGTGTGAGAGAGAGAGAGAGAGAAAGTAGCGAATAGTAGTGAATGGGAGAGGTGCGATCCCTCTTGTTGTGCATCGAACCCCCTCTTGTTGTCTATCGAACCCCTTTTGTTGTGCATGATAACATCTCTCTTGTTGTCTCTTGTTCATCACTGAAACATCTCTATGATTAGGATGAGGAACGAAAACGAGAGGTGTGTTTTGTTTCTCATCCTAATCACGATGGAAAGAATTTAGGTTAGTTCGTGCTCGGGAAACATCCGCCCTTACCCTATGGCGGGTACATCCGCCACACAGCCCACGACGAAAAGAATTTAGGTCAGCTCTTGCTCGGGAAACATCCGCCCTCACCCTATGGCGGGTACATCCGCCACACAGTCGAGGATCGAAGTACTTGTTTGTGTGGAGGATATATCCGCTATACACCAAGGGGGAGGAGACCTCTAAGAGGAGATGTTGGAGTACAAACATGCTCTGTGGCGGATATATCCGCCACACAGACGTGGACACCAAGCGCGGGTGTTGTTTATCTGGTTTGAGGTTAGCTCTTGCTCGGGAAACATCTGCCCTTACCCTATGGCGGGTACATCTGCCACACAGCCTACGACGGAAAGAATTCAGGTCAGTTGTTGCTCGGGAAACATCCGCCCTTACCCTATGGCGGGCACATCCGCCACACAGCCGAGGATCGACGTGCTTGTTTGTGTGGCGGATATATCCGCTGTACACCAAGGGGGCAAAGACCTCTAAGAGGAGATGTCGGAGTGCAAACATGCTCTGTGGTGGATATATACGCCACATAGACGTGGACACCAAGCGCGGGTGTTGTTTCTCTGGTTTGTACTCCGACATCTCCTCTAAGAGGTATCCGCCCGCTCGNAGACGTGGACACCAAGCGCGGGTGTTGTTTCTCTGGTTTGTACTCCGACATCTCCTCTAAGAGGTATCCGCCCGCTCGGTGTGCAGCGGATATATCCGCCACACAAACACGAACGTCGATCCTGGCTAATGATGTTTCGAGACACAGCCAAGGATCGACGTACTTGTTTGTGTGGCGAATATATCCGCTGTACACCAAGGGGGCGGAGACCTCTAAGAGGAGATGTCGAAGTACAAAGCGGGTGTTGTTTCTCTGGTTTGAGGTTAGCTCTTGCTAGGGAAACATCCACCCTTACACTATGGCGGGTACATCCGCCGCACAGCCCACGACGGAAAGAATTCAGGTCAGCTCTTGCTCGGGAAACATCCGCCCTTACCCTATGGTGGGTACATCCGCCACACAGTCGAGGATCGACGTGTTTGTTTGTGTGACGGATATATGCGTTGTACACCAAGGGGGCAGAGACCTCTAAGAGGAGATGTCGGAGTACAAACATGCTCTGTGGCGGATATATCCGCCACACAGACGTGGACACCAAGCGCGGGAGTTGTTTCTCTGGTTTGTACTCCGACATCTCCTCTAGGAGGTATCCGCCCGCTCGGTGTGCAGCGAATATATCCGCCACACAAACACGCACGTCGATCCTGGCTTATGATGTTTCGAGACACAGCCGAGGATCGACGTACTTGTTTGTGTGGCGGATATATCCGCTGTACACCAAGGTGGCGGAGACCTCTAAGAGGAGATGTCGGGGTACAAAGAGGGTGTTGTTTCTCTGGTTTGAGGTTAGCTCTTGCTCGGGAAACATCCGCCCTTACCCTATGGTGGGTACATCGGCCACACAGCCCACGACGGAAAGAATTCAGGTCAGCTTTTGCTTGGGAAACATCTGCCCTTACCCTATGGTGGGTACATCCGCCACACAGCCGAGGATCGACGTGCTTGTTTGTGTGACGGATATATCCGTTGTACACCAAGGGGGCAGAGACCTCTAAGAGGAGATGTCGGAGTACAAACATGCTTTGTGGCGGATATATCCGCCACACAGATGTGGACACCAAGCGCGGGTGTTGTTTCTCTGGCTTGTACTCCAACATCTCCTCTAAGAGGTATCCGCCCGCTCGGTGTGCAGCGGATATATCCGCCACACAAACACGCACGTCGATCCTGGCCAATGACGTTTCGAGACACAGCCGAGGATCGACGTACTTGTTTGTGTGACAGATATATCCATTGTACACCAAGGGGGCGGAGACCTCTAAGAGGAGATGTCGAAGTACAAAGCGGGTGTTGTTTTTCTCGTTTGAGGTTAGCTCTTGCTCGGGAAACATCCGCCCTTACCCTATGGCGGGTACATCCGCCACACAGCCCACGACGGAAAGAATTAAGGTCAGCTCTTGCTCGGGAAACATCCGCCCTTACCCTATGGTGGGTACATCCGCCACATAGTCGAGGATCGATGTGCTTGTTTGTGTGACGAATATATCCGCTGTACACCAAGGGGGCAAAGACCTCTAAGAGGAGATGTCAGAGTACAAACATGCTCTGTGGCGGATATATCCGCCACACAGACGTGGACACCAAGCGCGGGTGTTGTTTCTCTGGTTTGTACTCCGGCATCAACTCTAAGAGGTATCCGCCCGCTCGGTGTGCACCAGATATATCCGCCACACAAACACGCACGTCGATCCTGGCCGATGATGTTTCGAGACGGAGTGTTTTCTCCACTACGTTCCTGCTCAGTTGCTGCGGCGGATATACCCGCCACACATGCGTGGACACCGAAGGCGCAAAACGTTGGTTTCCATCCTGAGGATGACGGCCTCGATAGCGGATACTTCCGCCGCTGAGGATGAAGACCGTGCCTCCAACGGGCGCAGAAGAGTTCGAGGTCATCGTCCACACGGCGGATACATCCGCTCCACACCGAACACATTCGCCCCGTAGTCAACTGTTGCCCGGGAGAGATCCGCCCTCACCCAACGGCGGACACATCCGCCACACAGCTGAGGGCGCAGAGTGCCGGTTGCCAGCTGGAAACAACTTTCTCTGTGTCGCAGAAACAACACACAATGTTGTGATGTTACGTGGTATTAATTGCGCATGGGTATGGTTCCTGTGTTATATACGCGGGCTCATACTGTTCGAGGTTTCAGTCTGTTTGCTGTATGGCGGATATATCCGGCGCACAGACAAGGACGTCGAATGTCATGTTCGCCATCAAGTTTAACACCCGCGCTTGATGTCCACGTCTGTGTGGCGGATATATCCGCCACCGAGTAACTGAGCATGTTGGTTCTCTGTTTTGTACTCCGACATCTCCTCCAGGAGGTCTCCGCCCGCTTGGTGTACATCGGATATATCCGCCACACAAAAACGTACGTTTCCGCTCAGTAGCTGTGACGGATGTATCCGCCATACATGCGTGGACACCGAATCCGCGTAATTGACGACGACCTCGAAGAACTGAGCGCTCGTCAGGGCAGGGTCTTGATCCGCCGCGGCGGATGTATGCGATAGAGTAGAAAGCATCACGACTTACCCAACCAAAATAGCACATGACATTTCGAGCTCTCCGTCCTCATGTGTCGTACGGATGTGTCTGCCGCATGGATCACGATCCTGAGCGGCGGATGTATCCCCTATCGAGGCCGTCGTTGAGGTTGTATCCGCTCTCGAGGCCGTCGAACGTGGTGCGGATGTATCTGCTATTTGAGAATGATGACCGTGCCCTTCACATGCGCACACCGCCGCTGGGGACCACGACCTTGCCCTGACCTGGTCCTCAGCGGCGGATGTATCCGCTATTGGAGGAAGCAGCACGACTTAGGCATTTCTCAAAATGAGTGTGCTAGTGTTGTGCGGTCGACAAGGGCAGAGTCCTCATCCTCAGCGGCGGATGTATCCGTTGCACGTCGAATACATCCTCAGCGGCGGATGTATTCGTTGTAGAAGCAGCACGACTTCGAGGTCGTAGTCCATGCAACGGATAAATCCGGTGTTTATCCGCCGCTGAGGATGAGGACTCTGCCCTTGTCGTGCGCGTGTGAAGGTAGCCATATGACTTTTACGATGCTAAAGCTGAACACCAGATGCATCCGCTGCATGGACTATCTTCGACAGCGGATATATCCGCCTTCGATGATGATGACCGTGCCCTTCGCACGCTGAGGACGAATCAACGTCGTTCTGCTTACTATCATGTTGAGTAGCATGTTCTTCTTCGTGCTTGGCAAATGCAGATAAAATGGCATCCGCTGGTGCTGGCAAACGAGCTGACTCTGCAGGAATGGCTGTCGAGGGAGAGTTGCCTGAGTCCAGTGGAAATCGTGGTGGGCCTGCCTCGACTTCTATCGGTGGTCCAGTAGCGGAGCGCGGTCGGCGCGGTTCTTCTGGTGGCAGGCACAGCGGCGGGACGAGGAGAAATCCTTTGTACTACAAGTATGACAACCGCCACTGGTTTCTTGATTGGGTTTCTGCTGACGAGTCGGCGCTGACGAGTCCACCTTGCGGTGTAGTCGTCTTCGTGAAAGACCGTAATAATTTTCGAGTTGTCGGGGCTGTGAGCGGATGGGAAGATTGTTCAGAGGGAATTCGTACATTCACCCTTCAGACGGCGTACGGGAAGAGCGGTCATCCTGATCATGACGCCTAGGGTGTCAGATTGGCTTGGAAAAAGTTCCGAGGTTTCGGCAAGCAAGCCACCATGCTTCCGTTTTACATGGCAATAACATCAGATTTAGAACCGTCTGTTCTCTTGCGGAGCTTCTTTGATGATTGAGAGAGATTGGTGCCGCCACTGGCCCGCCAGCCAGGTGTTTAGATGTGCCGCAGGAGCATCGTATTTCGATGCCGATAGCGTATATTGGCGATGACGAGGACCGCACTCGAACTTTAGAATTGTCGACTGATGTTGATACGGAGGGTGCGACTGGAGGGCTTGACCCTAATTACGTTCCTGAGCAGCAAGACCCCTCAGGTGCTTATGAAGAATCCGAGCTGGAAGGTGAAGCTGTCGAACGCAGACATGTGGAGGGGGCGGTCACCGAGGTGGCTCGGGCTCCAGTAAGTGCGATAAATGAGCCGTCGCCCCAGAGGGGGCGGTCGCCGATATGGTTGAGGCCTCAGTAAGCGCTACGGATGAGCCGTCGACTAGGGCGAAGACGACTGGAGTTAGTACTACCGTTGGACATCCTGAGGTTGCGGAGCAGCAAAGGGGTGGGGAGACAGGTAAAAGACCTGTTGCGGTGGGAGAAAAGAGAAGTGGAGAAGAATCTGGCAGCGAGGGGGCTGGAGACGAAGACACCCCTCGTTTATCTTCATAGAAGAAAAGGAGAACAAGTACCCCTCGCCAGACATCTGACAAGAAGAGGAAATCGGCGGGAAAGAACACGGGAACACCGAAGGCGAGACGGGGAGGTGGATCAGGGGAAGGGTCATCGAAAGGCAAGCGGGCATGAGCAGATGAAAATGATAGTGAGGACGACAAGGAAAAGGTTGTCGATCTGGACGCCGGTACTTTCTGGAATGGAAAGAGGGTATAAAGAAAACTGTCACTCTTTCTATCAACCCGGAGAGGGTATTGGAGTTGCAGGCGTGGGAAAGGCCGTACAATCATCGTTCGATCGACCCAACGCACACGGCATATATATTGCGGTGTATGATGGATGCCTTCAAGAAGAAAGGAAAGACGTACGAGAAGCCAATTTTGAAATTGGCGCCAATCGCAGGGCTTCCTWGCCCYGGACGRAAGRCTGTTCGTMTGACCCCRGACAAATTCAATGTGGAGAACCCGAACGAACACTGGTACTACGCTGTCAGCGGGCAACACAATGTCAAGGCTGCGCTGGAGTTGAGAAACCACGAGATTTGGGAGAAGCATACCTTCTACAACTTGCCCTTCAAGCCTTTGTACTTCGCCGACGAGGACTTTGACGGTTATACGTAGATAAGCGTGAACGAGAATAGGAAGGACAAGTTAGCCCCTCCTCGGGCTCAACGGCTGTCAATAATAGACATTCGTCAGGAGTGGAATAACTTGAAGCGTCCTCGTGCTGTCACCGACAATATAAAGTTCAAGAAGGATTTGGTCTGTAAATATGAAGAGTTTCAGAAAGCCGCCTTGAGGAAAACGCCTTACTTCAACCTTTGGGGGTTGGCTGATGAGAAATCGAAGAAAAAGGAATGGACGGAGAGACTGAGGTACTACTTACCTCTGGTGATGACGGACGATGAAACGTGGATGCTTGGCATGAAATTCTACGACGAGTGGCAGAAGGGCCATCTGCTCGCCTCTGATGGCGCTATGTGGACGAAGAGGCCTCCAACAACGGACCTGAAAGTCACCCGTGAGGGTCAGTCATTTGCGGAGGACAGCAGTGGCCATAAGAGAGTTGTGTATAATGTGCGTGTGACTGATCTGGAGATGCGGAAAGGCAAGAAGAAAAGGAAACAGGAGGAGCGCGACTTTTTCGTCCAGGTGAGTGAACCCGACGTGCATTTTTGGAAAGACTTGGGGGATTTTACAGACGCGGAGAAACGTCGGATCCTGCGAGGGTTGCTGGACCTGGATATTGTCTGGGTGCAGCAAGGAAGCAAGAAGCTGATTGAGCAAGGAAAGGTTGGGATGAAAGATGCTTGTGAAATGGTCAAGCAAGATCGGATGTTGCTCCAGCTGTGGCATATTGTGCAATTCCAGCACGAGGGTCGCGACAACGATGATTGGAGTGCCTCCTTTTTCCGGACGAAGGAGCAATTGATGGCAGAGTACGCCTCCAAGGGACTGGACGAGAAATTGTGGGCGGGCTGCAGGAAATGGATCACAGATCACTCGTACCTCAAGGAATGCCCCCAGTATCTCGACTGTCCGAGTGATAAGGACGTGGTGGCAACGATGAAGTTGGTTAATCACGAGAAGTTTCCTACTGAATGGAAGCGGGTTGTGCTGTCCGTGCTTAAAGGCGAACGTGGCAAGACAGAAGAGGGGCCGCAAGCACTGGGAGAATGCACCACCATCAAATGGAAGGAAACCAAGCAAGTGACAACCCTCACACCATTTGCTTACGACGCCTTCATGGCTTTTCTAAGAAAAGATGAGATGAGGAAAGTTGTGATGCAGCTGCGATGCCACACTTGCATCATTGACTTCTGCGATCCCGTCGACCGAGCACGTTGGAATGACGAGGCTTTCCGATCATTGGCGGCATTCCTTGAAGCTGTGTGTCTTGATTTTTGGACTTTAATTGCTTTTGTTCCCAGACAGTGGGACCTTTTCTTCATGGGTCTTCTCCACATTCTTCCTGTCACGAATGGTTGTGCAGGAAAATGGATTCGGAGGAGTCAAGTTAAGAAGCACTACCAAATCGGGAACAATGTGTGGGGCGACGAGGACAGGATGTATGTTCTTTTCCACGGGGATGATATGAAGCTTAACACCCCGCCGACATATGAGGGACGATTGCCGGACGATGACGCTGCAGCTCTTGGGAAAAGGCAAAAGGTGACACCCTCAGACATTGCCGAAATACAGTTCACGACCACGACGTATGCATCGGCAGGTGTGCACCACCTGAAGGGGTTCGTCTATAAGGAAATGGAGCGCAACCCGGGTATGTTATCGGGTCACATAGAGTTCTTCTGCCCAGTCGAGAATGCAGTTATGTTCATCGGCAAAGCACACGCCCAGGTTGTGTGGCATCTTCTCAAGAGCGGGCGCCATGTTGTTGCCATCGAGGGAGACACAGAGCTCCTCAACTTCTTGATGACATTTGTTGCGCACGAGGTGCACACGGGTGTGGACAACTGTGAATTCTACCAGGTGCAGAAAGAGGTCGACCATGATCCACATAGGAACATGTGGTTCAAGCTGTCAGCTGAGAAAAGGGCGAATGTATACAAGTTTCTGTTCCTCGACATAAGACCGAAACTAAGATTCGAGGACGACTACAAGTGTCGCCGAGATGTCATGATTGGTGCATTGGATGGCTTTCATTGTGCTTCTAGGGAGGCTGCGGCCAACTTCGTGGAGAAACTTGAGGAATGCTATTTCGACAATGGCAAGGTGGAACTCACACTAAATTATTACAAGGCTCAGTTCACCGAAGAGGACAATTTCAAAGCAAACGACGAGGAAGATGTCAGCGAGGGTGAGGAGCCTTTGGATTTAGAGACGGTATATCAGAAATATACTGCAGGTATGACGTCCTCTTCAACGCCTTCCAGTTCCAAGCATGCTGCGAGTTCGTCTGTCGTCACTCCTGTCGCCATTCCTGTCGCAACGTCAACCTCGGGTTCTTCAAAAGGATTTCTTTCCTCCATGAGAAGCAAACCTCTGAGCCCCACTGCCAAGCCTGGACGTCCTTTTCCGCTGACGCACACATTGAGGTTGCAGAAAGGTCAACTCTATTTCTTTGGTACGACGCACAGGAGTACCGACGAGTCCGATTGGGGTCACCATGTAATTTGACATCCATACATTTTCCAACCGGAAGTTCTTGATGGCGAATGGGTTATGGCGTTCAATGATAAGGGCGAATGGAAATCAGAACCCCGTTTGTCCAAAAAGGTATTTGAAGAGGCCGCCCTCCAAGCGGTTATCGACCATGTCGCAGAGGTAAACTGCCGTCAACCAGACGACCTTGTCGTCAGAATGTTCGGAGAGCAGACATTCGAGATTCTTCAGGAGCACAACATGTTGGAGCTCTGTCGTGACTTTTATTACCTCGAAACAAGTCCAAGTTATGAAACCAAAACTGACTGGCATATTTCGCCGCCTGCCCCAACACGAGGAGAGGGAGCTGGATGGGGCAGCCGTGGAGGAGATGACGAAGGAGGGGACGGAGGAGGTGAGGATAGAACCCGCGGCGGCGGTTACGGGTGACAACAGAGGGGGCGGCGCACGACGTGGAAATGTTACGAGCCCGGGAGGGGTCACGATCGCAGGCGGAAAGGGTGCTATGGCTTCGGTAGAAGGTACGAGCTCACAAACTGGGCAGGGATCACTGCAGGTTGAATCTCCACTGCCGACCCATGCGCTGCAAGCTGCTGAACTCGTTGGGCAAGTACATGGCTCATTTCTCGGCCGCGGATGTATCCGCGACACAGTCATGATCGATGGAGGAATAGGTGGTATGGCTTCAGTAGAAGGTGCGAGCTCACAAACTGGGCAGGGATCACCGCAGGTTGAATCTCCACCGCCGACAATGTATCCGCTCGGTGCTGAAGTCGTTGGGCAAGGAAATCGCTCATTTCCCGGCAGCGGATGTATCCGCGGTACAGTTTCTGCCGGATCGAATTTCATGGCAGATGCGGATTCGGTCGACGTGGCTTCCACCAAGGATCCAGGACGCGACATTCCGAAGTGCGAAGTTATTACGGATGCCACTTTCCTTCGCAGAGAGAATGTGGTGGAGAAAACTGTAGGCGGGTCATACTCCCCCGGAAGGACAGATTCTCTTGCAAGTCCTTGTGCAACTAGGTCTGAGGTGGATAAGGGGCGGGTTGGCCTTTTTTCTGCCGGCCCCGGATGTATCCGCCATCCAAGCGGGCGCGTCAGTGTGGAGCAGAATGAGGACTTAGCTGTCGGAAGCATTTCGGTCGGTGGCGGATATATCCGCTCCTCGACGCATCAACTCAGCAGCACCGATGACACCCTTGCCCTGGATATGGAAGACCAGGAGACTGCACCCTTTGACACACATTACGGTGGTTCCGAGGGCGGGCATGTCCCTCTGACAAATGCACCGGAGGAACATGCACGCGGGTCGTACAAGGGGCGCGGGCTGCGTGATGGCGGTTCTTTCGCCGGCGCCGGATGTATCCGCCGTCCAGGACTTCGTGTCAGTGCAGAGCAGAAGGAGTTAGTTGTCAGACCCGTTTCCACCGGCGGCGGATCTATCCGCTCCTCGGCGCAGCAGCCATGTAGCACGGATAACACCCTTGCCCTGGGTGTGGAAGACCATGTGACTCCACCACCTGATACACGTTGTGGCGGTTCCTAGGGGGGGTATGTCTCGCAGTTATGTTCTGGGTTTCCTGACATACGGCCCTCCAAAATCCATATGGCAACAGTCGTGTCAAGCGACTGCAATGAGGACGAGGACGTCACCATGCTCGAAGTGGAAGAGCTATCTTTCCGTCGTCCGATCGAAGATGATCTTGTCAAGACACTCTTCCACGATTCCCCCGTTGTCATCTCTCCCTCTTCACAATTATTGACTCCTCAAGATGAAGTTNGTCCGATCGAAGATGATCTTGTCAAGACACTCTTCCACGATTCCCCCGTTGTCATCTCTCCCTCTTCACAATTATTGACTCCTCAAGATGAAGTTCTTGCCATCCGTGGGAGTGGTGGAACAACTGGTCATCCTGTAGAGTTGTGCCCCGATGCTCCGGAAAAAGCTGTTTGCCTCATCGACGCGGACATTAAGGACTTGTCCCGACTTCCATCCCAGTTAGATCGCATTATGGCATCGGCGCAGACTGAAGAGTTCGTGCTGGGTCTAAGCGCGACATGTCTGAGAAAAGACTTGCCACAACCGAAAGTTTTAGACGAGAAGAATACTAAGGAACATCTCCGGCACGAAGCTGTGGCTCGTAAGCAGTGACATGTGTTGCTCACATTTGACATGTGTTGCTCACATTTGGGTCAACGTAGTGTATGAGCACTTGGAGTTAATTCACTGACATGAGTGTTTGGGTCCCACTACTGTATGAGCATTTGGAGTTTACTTTTCGAAGTAGCGAGCGGCGATATGTTTGGATATGTGGGTAATTGCTGGTTGCCCGTTGGTTGTGCAATGCGGCGATATGTTATATTCATAATCTCCTTTTCTTTACTTGTTGTACAGGTCGGCCATCTCCTTCATGTGTCGTGCGGAGAAACTCGGAAGAGTCTCTCACAAAGACGAATATGCCGCGATTGTCGAGAAGGGATTTTCATATTGTAGAAGCGACGAGTATGAGTTCTGACACATTTGCGAAGTTGCACATCAAAGTTTGCAAGAAATGCGCCATTTCTTCGCTTCCTGGACCCGCGCCATACTTTTTTAGGAGTACAAGTAGAGGGGTTCAAATTTATAATAATTTTAAAGCGCAAAGCAAAGAACCGAACGGCTCGGACAGTTAGGGTGTCATCCTTCTCATGCTCATGTGTGTTGCTTGGTTGGACTGTGCAGCAGACGTATGCATGTCAGGCGTTGGAGGAAATCAGGAAGAGTCGTCCAAGTTGATGGACAAACTTGTTCGGTGTTGCCTACCGTCGGTGATGGTTATTGCTCGGCTCCCGGCCGACAATTTGGTGGTTAGGGTAAAAGACATGGTGACATTATTGGATAGAGGCGGCGAGCTTAACGACAAGGTCATGAATTTTTACTTAGCTCTCCTCACCAGGGACTGTCGTTGATCTTCGTTCAAAGTGTATAACTTCCTTTCCTTTTTCTTTACGAAGTTGCAGTCGCAAGGTTTTAGAGGGGTCAGCAGGTGGAAGCAAAATGTCCTTCTTTTCGATTACAATATATTGCTCATCCCCATTCACAAGGATTACGAGCACTGGGTCTTTCTTTCAGTAGATTTCAGAAAGCACGTTGTAAACTTCGTCGATTCGTTTTATAACCCGGTCTGTGACGCGTCATTCGCTTCCAGTGCATTTAAGGCGGTTGTGGACTATCTGAATAAAGAGGCAACCGCGCGAAGGTTGCCCAAAAGGTACAATAACATGAGATTTGAAGTGCTTGTTAAGGGAGTGCCTAGGCAGGTTGATGGCTCGAGTTGTGGGGTGTTCATGTTGATGTTCGCTTCCTTTCTTGCTCGGGGTTTGCGCCCGCCTTTCCGCTTTTCGAATTTTGACATTCCAGCAATCAGATGCAAAATGGCATCGATCATATGTTCTGTAGGACAAGTTTGAGTACGTGTTGTGAGTTCTCCCGGTCGGGATTGCGCAACGGATGTATCTGGCCTGTAGGATCATAAATCCCTTGTGCTATTTGAGAATTCTTTCAAAAGTAGCCTTGAAAGTTTACGACAAGTTTGAGTACGTGTGGCCAGTTCTCTAGGTTGGGATTGTGTAGCGGATGTATCCGGCCTATAGGATCAGAGACAAGTTTGAGTACGTGTGGCCAGTTCTCCGGGTTGGGATAGTTTAGCGGATGTATCCGGCCTATAGGATCAGAAATCCCTTGTGCTATTTGAGAATTCTTGTATATTGCTCTTCTTCAGATATTAGGTGTCACTTTATTTGCGAGGTTGATGGGTCGCTTTGTGGGATATTCATGTTGATGTTCGCTTCCTTTCTCGCACGGGTATTCCGCCCGCCTTTTCGCTTTTCGGATTTTGACATTCCAGCAATCTGATGTGTTTCCAGTTGAGGTGTCAATCATCGCAGATGTGTATGGGGACATTTGTATGTGGTTCCTGAGTTCTGCATTACTCGAACACATCTCTCTGTCCTGTTCTCATTTTGAAAAAATATGTAGCGGATGTATCCGCCACAGGCGAGTATATATACAAGACATATGTAGCGGATGTACCCGCCACAGGCTCGGACATCTCATTTCGAAAGAATATGTAGCGGATTTATCTGCCACAGGCAATAATATGTACTGGATGTATGCGCCACAGACAATAATATGTAGCGGATATATCTGCCACAGGGGAAAAAGTTCTTTCTCTCTGGGACATCTGTATGTGGTGGTGTCTGGCATTGCAAATGTGTATGGGGACATTTGTATGTGGTTTCTGAAAGAATATGTAGCTCTCTCTCTCTCTCCCTCTCTCTCTCTCTCTCTCTCTCTCTCTCTCTCTCTCTCTCTCTCTCTCTCTCTCTCTCTCTCTCTCTCT